CATATATATACAGTATATATACTGTAGTTATACCTCTATACCACCTCGTTCAATTGTTATATTAGTCCAGTAGGTGGCGCTCTGTTTTTACACGCGTCGGATACTGAAAAGTTGCGTTGTTTACGGTTGTAAGTTTCTGATGATTGTGGTCTCATCTCATTCGACAAAACTGTGTTAGTTTGGAAGTAAAGAGAAAAAACAAACAAAACAAAACAAACAAAAGAAAACATTTGTGTGCCCTAAATGGGAAGTGTCTTTTTTTTTCTCTTTTCAAAAAGTGTCATAAAAGAAAACTTCGGTTATGACTGCTGCCAACTACTTTAACTGTTTTGTGAGGAGTTTGTTTGGGTGAGCTGACATTCATTTTAGGATTCTTTTCTCCTGTTTGTTGATCCAGGAACATAAGAAAACTGTTTCATTTTTATTTGGTTTATAGACAAGTGAATTAATAATAAGATAAATTTACATTGTGTTTGGGATTTTGCCCTGACTTTAGCAAGACTAATACTCAACTGTAAATAAATGAATCACAGTTTTTCTGTAAAATCAGCATCCTGCCTCTGTGGCAGATTGAGGTTGTGCAGAAGATCGAACTAAATCTAAAAGCCCTTAAAATATTTATTTTTCAGAAGTCGATTTTTTCTCCTCAGGAACAGTTGTTGACATTTATAACCAACATAAACATCTTTTTTTTACTTACTAAAGTGGGTTTGAAGGGTGGCATCACCTGCCGCTGCTCCAGAGCGCTCCAGTCCATGCTGGTGAAGAAAGCGTGCTGCCTGATGTTTCCCTTCACTCCGAGCCGCTCCTCAGGCTCTCTGACAAACAACTGAGGGAAAAAACACAGAAGATTTTATTCACCCAACAATCATACAAACACCAGGAAAACAGACTGAAGTTCTAACCTCTAAAATAATTGGTTTTAAGTGTGAGTTCTTTAAAACAGCACCTAACCTTAATCATTATGTCTTTAGCTGCTTTGGTGAGCCAGTTGGGGTAAACAGGGTTGTCTGTTCTTATGGACTGAAAGAGCTCCTCTTCATCGCGACCGTGGAACGGCGACTGACCGATCAGCATCTCGTAGAGCAGCACTCCGAACGACCACCAGTCCACTGAGCTGTTGTACTTCTGACCCAGCAGGATCTGCTCCACAAACACAGAAACATCTAAATGGGTTAAAGCAGAAACAAGAGAAAACACCTTTTGACTATCGCACATGATAAGTGTGTGTTCACCTCAGGCGCGATGTAGTCGGGGGTTCCGCAGAAGGTGGAGGTCCGCGACTCCTCCTCCATGTTCTCTTTGCACATCCCAAAGTCTGCAATCTTTATATGACCATCTGAATCCAGCAGCACATTATCCAGCTTCAGATCTCTGCAGAGGAGCAGAAGCAAAGAAACTCAGCTCACCTGCCTCACATGATCGTTTGTTTCAGACTTCAGCAGACGCCCACCTGTAAATGACTCCTTTAGAGTGTAAAAACTGGAGCCCACAGATGATTTCAGCTGCATAAAATCTGCAAAATGGAATMAAAATTAAGAAAACAGTTTCTAATTTCTAATGTCTGTGAACAAGTTATTTAAAGAGAAGTAAAAATGCAGAAGTTTAAAAAGTCACTCAGAACAAAACAATTACAGAGAGTTTTATATCAATAAGAATACTTCCTTAAAGTGTGAGAGTTATGGATCAAATCATAAACATCTGCATGTTTTTCTGCACATCCAGTTTACATACGTGGCTCTGTGTACGTCAAACTTGTGGCAGCTTTGGATGTGGAACATGAGATCACCTCCGTTCAGATACTCCATCACAAAGAACAGGTTCTCCTGGAAAAACACATTCAAACAGACTCGTTTGTTTCTTTACGTTTTCCCTAAGGCAAGTTTAAAAGATCGTCAGACTTCACGTGTTCCTGGACGTCACCTTCGTCTGGAAAGTGCAGTAAAGGTGTGTGAGGAAGGGATTCTCCCAGGCTAAAGACAGAACCCTCTTCTCCACCATGGTGCACTCCACGTCATCGTCCATCAGCACCACGTCCTTCTTCAGAGCCTTCACCGCGAAGAACTTCCCGCTCTTCTTCAGTTCGGCCAGAAACACCTGGATCCACAGCGGGAACATCATCCACAACAGTTTCTAACAAACAATCCAGATGTTGTTGCCGTCAGCAGAGAATTAACAGAAACGAATGCTGCGTTCACACCGAACGCGATTTCAGCTTCAAAATCGCAGCCAACGCTGAAGTTTGAAGCTTGTGCACTTTGAGGTCAGACGCAGGTCAGCTCTTGAAGCGCTGCACGGCAACAGCCTCCCCGCCCCTCCCTCCTCTGTCGGGCTCTGTTTAATGTCGGAAGAGGAAGTGGCTTTGCTTTATTTACAGAGAGCAAGAGCATGTCACGTTCATCAGATAATTAATTCATAATTAATTCACCAGATAATTCAGAGACATTCTGAGTTTCATCACCCAGGAGCTGCAGGAGAGGCTCACAGCTCGCTTTCAGGACTATTTTTGTCCCGAGTCCAGTCTGATGAGCCGCTGCCACGCATTGGTGTGGATATCTCCTGTCAGGACACCGACTGCAGGCACTCGATTTCAGCTRAAGAGCTCCTCTCCATCTGTTTCAGGTTAGTGGACATCATTCAGTAAACTGTCCCGTCGGGAAATATGTCGCTACGTCACACAGTGGAGTCTCTCTGATTGGTTGACGCGACGCGTCGAGCTGYAAAAGTTCAGATTTTCTAACTTCAGCGATTTGAGCCTCAGCGCGTCGAACGCTCAGATCGTTCAAATCGCGCTGCTCTAATCGCGCTGCTCTAATCACGCTTGAGGCGCCGCAGCCCTTCCCGACGCTGATTGAAGCGCGTCCCCCATAGACTTTGTATGTAAACCTGATGCTCCTGATGCTGAAATCGCGTTTGGTGTGAACGCACCATAAGTGTTTCTGTTTTTACACAAATAATAGCAACCTAGAGAAATTGCATTTCCTGCGAAAATGCTAATATAAATGTTTCTTGCAGAAAATTTATCTGAAAGCTCAAGTTCAATACATGTTCATTTGAAACGCGAACACAAAACACAAAAAAGCAGAAATGGTAAATGGACTGAACTTATGGAGCAGTTTATCAAGTCCCATGGGGACCCCAAACCCCTTTACACTACAGTCATTCGCACATTCACACACTGATGATGGTAAGCTACAATGTAGCCACAGCTGCCCTGGGGCTCACTGACAGAGGTGTGGCTGCCATGCACCGGCACCACCAGACCCTAATATGCAACTAGCAGAAGAATAGCTAAAATAGCAGGAAAAAAGCACAAATTAGCATAATAAGAAGCTAAAGGTAGCAGACACAAGTTAGAATGAGCTTCCAGATGGTGAAAGTGGTGTAGAAAAGCAAAATTAGCAGAAAAAAAGAAAGTAAAAAAGTTGCTATTTGTTGTTAAATAGCTAAAACAGCTGAAATGTGCATCAACATGTGAACTTAGCTTTAATCTCTTAAGCCCCAAGGGGTTTTCTTGATATTTTTGCTCAAAATGCCATGCTGAAATATAACTGAGTGTATCTCAGCATTTACAAACTCTACTTAAATGATCTTAGTATAAAAATAAAGCTAATAATTGGGAGATTTTATCAGAAGTGTTGGTAGTAAAACAGCTGCAGTTGTTCTAGAGATATTGAGGATGGAACATAATTTTTTTACATTTTTTCCCTCCTATCTGAATGATTTTTGCATTAGATAGTATATAACCCATTTAAAACCCTAAAGAAGTAGGCTAAAACTCTTGGAAACCATAAATCCACTTGTGGACATTACCTGTGCAAAGATTCATGCTGCTAAAATTAACTGGAGCAAAGTTTTAGAGGTTTTAATAAAGAAATAGTTTTGCATTTTGTCATTCTGCACAGGACAGACCATGATGGTACCATTAATAAATGCTACGAAATCATAAGTTTTTACTTCCAAAACTTGTTTATTTTTTCTTACCTGACTTGATATAAGACTTGTTATTGAATGTTTGTGCAGTAAAGATTTAAAATTTTTTTTGATGAGTTTTAAYGTTGTTGAAAACAGCTATGTATATCCATAATTAATGGGAAAAATGTGGCCCAAAACGTGAAATAGGTAAAAAAAAAAAAAAGTATAAATAGCTGAACTAACAAAAGTCATAGCTGGAAGGTCCTGAAGGAGCTGAACGTTTTGATATATGAATTCTTAAAATAGCACAAAAATTGGGGAACAAGATAGATGCCAAAAATTGTGATAGATAAATAAATAAATAAATAAATAAATAAATAAATAAATAAAAAGATCTCAGTAGTGTGAATGCTTGTGAAGGGTTGAAAAGAATTTGGTTCAGTACCTTCCCAAAGCTGCCTTTCCCGAGCATCTTGTGCAGAGTGAAATCCTCAATGTTGAATTTGGACTGATGGTCCTTCTTTGGAACGGCGTAAAGAGGTTCTTCTTCTGGAGCGGCGGCAGAGCTCAGCCTGCAGACTTCTGTCGGCCCCTCCCACAGAACCCCCGACAAATCTGCTGCATATTGCCAAACAGTCAGCGTAAAGCAGCAAAAAGCCTTCAGTGTAAAGACAAAATACAGTTTTAGAAACAGCGTACCTTTGCTTGCAGGTGCCGATGAGACAGGTAAATCCGTTACTAACCCGGACGGAGCTCGGACCACGCCTGGCTGGCCGATGCCGACTGGACCTTCTCGCCCAATGATGTCAGACTCCTTCGTACTTTTGGCCTTAAACGGAAAAATAAAACCCAGCATTAAACTGAGACAGTAACAAATTCTCTTAACAAATAAATCATTATGGAGATTTCACATTTAAATTGGTAACAAAAAGTCACTTAGAACACTGAATTCAAGTATGCTGGTTATCAAACATCCATCAGCTGTCAGTTCAGGTTGACATGTTGACGTCAGCTCTCACTTTGTCATGAAAAGCGGCTATTTTTTTTGCAAACCGTAAGAAGAAAACACCCACAAGGTGTTCCTGCCACGTCTCATCTGCTTTTTGTCTAAAACAGAATTWAAAATAATACTTTTGGTTTTCTGACAGAGGAAGGAGCTGCGCGTTATCTTGACATTTCTAGACGTCTGGTGCAGAAGTGTGAGTCTACTGGTTTAAAGTCTCACCATGTGTGAAGAAAACAACTTCTCCTACAGCCAGCTAAAAAAACATGCCTCTTCAGATAAAAGTGCAGATTTTCCCCGATAATTGTTTTAATTTTTCTCCCACTCTAGCTCTAAAAACAATTTTTTTCCTCCTTTATCATTATGAAAACGGTACAAATGACACGTGATAAACTCAGCCTGGACATATAAAATGATTTTATCAGACCTGCTGTTGAATCTCAATGACGGCCAGAGCTTCTGCCATCAGTTTCTGGTTGACCCCACAGAGGTTGGCCACTTTCTTCTGGCATTTGTGGTGAACATTCATGCTGCATTCTGCACCAAAAAAAAAAAAACAAAAACAAAAAAAACACACAACATAAACATTAATCTATTTGAAAACATCCAACAGACATGCATATTTACAATGACAAATAATAGATTAATGCATTAATGCATTTCTTTATACAAGGAATCCTGTGCTGCAGGATGTTTTTAGGTTGTTGCTACCAGAAAGGGTTGATTTATCGCACAGGAATTATTCACACCTGCTGCAGCAGCTGCAGCAATCCATCCAAACTGTGCAAAGAATTCAGAGCTTCGTAGTAGATCCAGTATAGGTGGGGAGGGATGGGAGGGATTTTGGGTGTGTGTGTTTTGTTTTGTGTTTTTGTAAGTCTGTTCTTTTTTGTGGTTTATGTTTTAAAAATTATTAATAAAAAGACCTTGATCAAAAAGAATTCAGAGCTTGTTTCTGGTGAGAGAAGGAGAAATATCTGCTGCTGCTGCTGGTTCAGCTGGAGGAGGAACTGGGTGCAGAAACACTGTGGAGTCAACCGTGATGACGCCCACGTGGAAACCACGTGATCATTTAGACTGTTTCAGCTTTCAGAGATGAAATTATCTTTATGGATTTGGAAAATAAGCTCCTTATGTTACATAAAGCATTAAAAACACTGACATCTGTGCATTCATGTCATGCGTTGGCAAAGAGACACTTCTGTTGCTCCTTTAGGTCTAACACAAGTTTTTTAATGAGTCAGACTTTTATAAAGTGTTATTTACATTTAATGACGGTACACTTTCCAATCAGAATCTAAACAATGTGAAAAAGTGAGTCAGTTGCCTGTTTCCGGTCTGTGTGAGGAAACTGGAGTACCAGGAGGCTTCTTCTGAAATACAATTACCACCAGCTCCCAGCAGAGGGTAAATATCTCACACTAATGGGTCATAAACAGGTTTAAAATCCAGAACTTTTATCYGTAACAACTGCACCCTCCCTCAGTGAGTTCCAGCTCACATGTACTTTCTGTTCAATTCTTCATCCCTAATTAATTTTCATGTTTTATCACAAATACACTGCTGTTTATAGTTTAAACAGTGTCTTTGYATGCTATTGTTGCCTTTTTGTGTTTATTGTGAGAACTCCACCACGTTTCACTTTATTTTATATTTAAATCTGAAAAAACTTTCAATGTCTAAACCTGAAAAAATGTTAAAGTGAAAACTCCCCAAAACAAAAAAATATTTTATAAAAGTTGACCCAAAAATTCAGAACTATTAAAATCTTTTCATTTTTAACACGATTGTCCAATCAATAATCGGTCTGTAACAATAAATCATAATGATCTGTATGGATTATCAGTTAATCTGAGGACATCAAATCTCTGAGTCAAGATATAATCAATCTGCAACCGACTCAACCAATGACCTGAAAACTTACATCTTTTTATCTGTAAATAGTCATAAATATTTCTCACTGACCGTCTGAAACAGATTTTAGTCAGTCTCATTATTCACAGMAATAATAAAAAGTATTTGCACTGAGCTGCATATTTCCATGCAGGGATATAATCAGGTTAACATCTGTGACCTACATTTATGCTGTGGTCAGAAAAAAAACATTAGCGCTAAAGTATTTACTGAACGAATGCACTCATCATATCCATTATATTTTATTAATAACTGCTAATGTTTAAATATTAGACATGAGTGCTTTTATTACAGCTTTAGAGGCGGCATACACTTTTATTTTATTATTTGTGCAAAACCGAATGAGATTTCCTCCTTTTTATGTCCTCGCCTGCAGGTTTTCCCTTATGTCACTGAATAAACGTTTTCAAAAAGGGAATTAAAGGATAAAAAGTGCCACCTCTCACCCTCACATTTGAGCCCCTGCCTGGCGAGCCCCCACAGCAGCGTGCCACAGTGCTGACAGAAGGTGGGGCTCTTGTAGTTGTAGACTTTAAACCGGTGGGGCATGTCGATCTTGAAGCGCTCCTTGTGGATCTGAAACACACAGGGTGACAGTAAGTTCAGCTTGAGGCCAACTGTCCAAATAAATCAATCGTGTRTTAATATAATTGAAATCCAGCAGATGGATGGATTTACCTTACTGAATCAAAACAGCGCTCTAAAAGACTGTAAGCTAAMCTTGAACTAAAACAAGCATTTAGAGGTCGTTCTAATTTTTCAGGCCTACAAAATAAGGACTTTAGATTTAGGTTGTTATAAATAAAAGCAAACCTGATCCATTCTTGCTTCTTTGTCCTCCCCTTAARTCCCCTCAGAGGTGAAAAGGCAAAACAGCTGAAACACGAGCCGCATGTTTCCACTTGCAGCTCTGATCTTGATGAACATTTTTTTCTGTTTATAATATGACTTTAAAAACTCTTTAATGGATCCTTTGTTTCGAGCCTACAGACTGACTTTCTGCTCTGCACTTTTTGTTCACTTCTAAAAATAAAATACAGCCCACTGATGGATCTCTTATATTATTTCTGACTACATGARCATTTGCATACATTCAGTTAAAAATGGGAATAAAGATCAAGTCATGTTAGGTTTGAAATAATGTTAAAAGCAAATATAAGTAAGTTATGAAACTTCAGAAATAAGTATATACACTGCAAAAACTGTCCACGTAACCACGTTTTAAAACCTTATATCACAAAAAGTCTTTTTGATCTTGTTTTGAGACTGATTTACTAAACAAGAACTGATTGTGTAAGAATAATCATCTTGTTTTCAGAATGTGTAAGATTACTTGTCTTGTTAGTCTGAAAATTTTGACTCAAATTCAGTCAAAAATTTCTGCCAATGGAGTAAGAAAATTTTACTTGGTAAGATTCTTGAAATAAGTAAAAATTTAGTCAAATCAAGTATTTCAAGAATCTTTTCTTACTCCATTGGCAGAAATTTTTGACTTAATTTGAGTCAAATTTTAGACTAACAAGACAAATAATCTTACACATTCTGAAAACAAGATGATTATTCTTACACAATCAGTTCTTGTTTAGTAAATCAGTTTCAAAACAAGATCAAAAATACTTTTTGGCTGGATATAAGATTTTAAAACTTGGTTAGGTGGACATTTTTTGCAGTGTACCTGTTATAATAAAACATTAGTATTAAAATGCACATTTTTTAGAAATAGTTATAAATGTGCCATTTGTTCACGCAGGTTTATTTAGAAAACTGCACAGGTTTCGAAGCATTTGGCGGATAAAAGGRAAAAAAACTGAATAAACAAACGCAGTGCACCCAACAGCAGGCAGCAGAGATGTTTTTATTTATTTGTTTTTACAATTTTCAGAATTCTGCAGTAGCTTCTAAGTTTAGCTCCATAAATTCAAACGTGAGGCGAGAAGAAAACAAGAAAGAAAAAAGTGTTAAATGAAACAACACCTGGAGTTTTATTAAGTTTTAGAACCGAAACCTCGACATGGACACTCACCATGGTTTCTTTGCTGTTTATGGCTGATCCAGTGCATTTAGCGATGACTTTGTCTATGCACTTTTTGTGGATAGCAGCATTGCACTCTATAAGACAAAGAAAACTGAGCTCGACTCAAGGAAATTTGTGTTTTTGGTGTATTTATGGAAAAGAAAGTGACTCACGTCTGCACTGGTAGCCCTGCTTGTTGAGGCCCCTGAGGTGACAGAAACATATGAGATGACTCGTATGATAATGAGAGAGAGAAAAAAGAGTAATTAGTCACGTCATACCAGACGAACTCCTTGCAGACGGAGCAGAAGGTCGGTTGAGGGAAGAACGTGGCGCTGAACTCGTGACATTTGACRAGGTGAACTTTGGCCTGTTTGATGGCACCGCGTCGCTGGTGGAGTGTGAACAGGCCGTCTCTCTCCTGCTCCGACTCCAGGTCAGCGTCCGTCTGACCTCCTGCATCTAAAACGCATCACGTGAACTTCTCAGATATGTGATAACTATAATTTTACGCAGACATTTCAGGTTCTCACCTTTTTTGCAGAGTGAGAGATGTTTCGTACTTACACCAGCATCTGTTTGTTTCAYTACAGTCACATGTCCTCAGAAATAACTAACGCAAAAACTAAAACTGATTCTCCTTTGACCCCCGATTAGTTGTAACATTAGACTTTATTTGATAAACGTCTATTTTAACTGTAAAACAAAGACTGTAAAAACACTGTAGGCTGTTTAGTTTTGTACATTTTTTAAAATATATTTTAACACGGACGGAGCCATTTTATTTACACACAAATCATTCTGGGTAAATGATGACACTGATAGGTCCTCGGTGCGAGGCTGCTAGCGAGCTATAGCCACCCTGAAGGTTAATCTTGGACAATATCTGATGATCGACTATTAGAGCGTTGACAGAGAGAAGAAGGTAGAAATGACTCAGCCTGCAATTGAAAATATAGATGGAGGACCTCAGTTTAGCTTGTTTGTCGCGCTAGCACCAAGCTAATACATACAGTGGTTTGCAAAAGTATTCATACCCCTTGAAC